AAGAAACACTTACTGTAAAGAACAGCCGATATAGTTCGTTACCCCTGCCAAAAAATAGCCAAGTACTCATCTTTCAATATAGCGGATCGACTGAACATTAAAGCTTGTGATGGAGAGAAGTGAATTTTCGGTTTATCCTTCGGCTCAGTGGCAGTGACAGTGTGCTGTACGGCTTACGTTTAAACCGTTATACAGTACATAATTACTGCTTTGAATTCAATCTGTTTTGAATATTCGGAATCATTCACAATATTATACTGTAGACGATCCGAAAACCTATTCACCCCCCACCCCTTAACTAAACATACAATTCGGTGTAAGGTTTAAAAATTGACGTGTATTATACTATTATTCTATATATAATTTAGGTAAAACTCTAAAAGAAAAGCCGTACAGCTGTATATGACATTATAGACTTGCTCCAAGTCTCTCTTTGTGGAGCGAAGCCACTATATTGTACATCTATATATTTTACATCTATATTGTACGTTACATGACGTACCGCTGAGGGGGAGAGGAGGAAAGAGAGACTTGTAACATCTGGCAGCAGACATACTTCCGGCTGGTCAATTTCGACCAGCCGGAAGTAGATGCCCGCATTGACTTATCACGTGTTTAGGGGGGGAAGGCGACATCTGGACTTTCAGAGTTATTTGTTTAACATAAGTAATTTTGTATTCACGAGATTTCTCGTAGATTTCACATCACTTTTGACTGCGTGCATTTGGAATTTTGGGCATTATTTTTGCAATTTATTGTAAACAACGATTATAAGAAGAACGGATAAATTACAAATCAGCCGTAATCGTCATAAACCTCGATGACCACCAGTGTTTTTGTGTTTGACAATTTGTATTTCATTATATATTTTATATATGCAAGGTCAGTATAAACGGGTTATCATATAAAATTATCATTCTAATGAATGAATTGATAAAACGAATTATTTCTAATATGTACGGCCGCGTTTTTTACACGGCCACTACTGAAACGTTTAGCTTCAGTTGATTGTTGAATAAATCGATGACTTGCTTAGTTGCTTTCTGTTTTGAGCTTAACCACCGTTTAAGCTAAACGGGCTTGATACAACTGGCCCCAGACTCGGCCCCAGATAAACATTTTTGTATTACCGAGATCGAAACTATAGTAAATTGGAAACCGTGTCAATAATAAAAAACGTACAATGAACTTATGAACATGCGAAAATTGTCACGCCCAAAATTTATACAAATGTTTATTTTGTTAAAAATTTGTAACTTTGGGCGTGACAATTTTCGCTTAAACGGTGGTTAAGCTCAAAACAGAAAGCAACTAAGCAAGTCATCGATTTATTCAACAATCAAGCTAAACTTTCAGTAGTGGCCGTGTAAAAAACGCGGCCGTACATATTAGAAATAATTCGTTTTATCAATTTATTCATTAGAATGATAATTTTATATGATAACCCGTTTATACTGACCTTGTATATATAAAATATCTAATCAAATACAAATTGTATGTACACTGTACACTGGTAGTCATCGAGGTTTATGACGATTACGGCTGATTTGTAATTTATCCGTTCTTCTTATAATCGTTGTTTACAATAAATTGCAAAAATAATGCCCAAAATTCCAAATGCACGCAGTCAAAAGTGATGTGAAATCTACAAGAAATCTCGTGAATACAAAATTACTTATGTTAAACAAATAAGTCCAGATGTCTCCTTCCCCCCTAAACACATGATAAGTCAATGCGGCCATCTACTTCCGGCTGGTCGAAATTGACCAGCCGGAAGTATGTCTGCTGCCAGATGTTACAAGTCTCTCTTCTCTTTCCTCCTCTCCCCCTCAGCGGTACGTCATGTAACGTACAATATAGTGGGTCTCCACAAAGAGAGACTTGGAGGGCGGGGTTGGAGTGAAAAATGTTCATGCAGTAACACGAAAAATCGATATGACGAGCAGCCAAACAAAAACATTCGTTTTAGCTCCATAACAAAAGTTCGGGGACAATAGATGGCTGGAAACTGAAATTAAATCCTAAAGTAAGCAGTTGTATTAAATATTGATCGATGTATTGTTTGCTTAATATAATTATTTTTAAAAAACTGATGTTGCATATAATTAAAGTAAACAGTAGCCAGCGTGGCCGGCTCTTTTATAAGTAGAGCCTGCCCGAAAGCCCTAGTCAAATTGATGCCGCCCACTTAGTTAATATTCCATATTAACACCGCCCACTCGAAATAGTTTTGTATAAATTGATGACTTAAAATTTTAATTGTTGCATATCAATAAACTTTTTACAATAGTTGGATAGCGATTCAACTGCCTGGAAATACAAGCAAAACGTCGGCATTTCGAGCGAAGGCCCTTAGTAGGCCCAGTAGTAGACGAAGACCGTTCAAAATTATATTATGCTTTGCACCTGTGTGGCTGTACTACAGTTATAAATATTGCAGTATTAAATATGACTTAGGAAAAGTTTAAATAGACCCCTTCCCGTGTTATACTCGTTGGCAGGCAAATGTATTTTAAAAGCTCCAAAGAGAGTTTCGTATTATTATGGTGTATTAAACACAATGGAGAATGTATTGTTTTATATGATCGTAATTTGCTAGCCAGCAAAATATAAACAAGGCAAGGACAGCCAAGGTTTTATACTCTATACTATAGTGACCATACGGTAAAATCATACGACATATGCAGTAATAGCAGTATGGCTTGCCGTATTCTGTTTAGATACCGGTATATGTTATACATTTTACACTTTGTCTTTTGAATTTTATATTTCAGCCGACAGGTTTACACTTTAATATAGCAATGCCGTTTGTTTTTACTGTATTTATTTTTAAATATTTGAATAAATTAGCGTAACATGTCAATCAAACTGTCGTCAACGTAAATTCAGCCAATCACAGTTCTCGGCGGCTGGCTGCCGAGAGTCATCAATTTGACTAGGGCTTTCGGGCGCTAAGTAAACAGCGTATTCAGTGCATTTTAATAAATTTATACCGTTTTAATTATTTCGGATTATTAAAAATCTTTACTGAAATAAAGAGGAGAGCAAAACTAATTTCATGCGAAAATTGCATAATTCCATATTTGAAATAATTTTACTCCAAACTCACAAATTTATGGATAAGAAACAGGCAGTTTAGTTTCATTAACATTTTAAAACGTTTTGCGAAGCGTTTCTGGTCGAATTTCACATATGCACTTAGTCTTAAAATGTCTAGCTGATTGATAATTTTGTAATTAAAAGTAATATATTTTTTTAATGTTAAAAATATAAAGAATAATATGATCGTGTTACCATGACAACCACTTCGAATACTTCGTCTTTGGAAAATATAGTTGTTTTGCTAGCACGAGGAGTGGTTTCAATGCATGTGTGTATTTCTAGTTATAAGAATTCCATGCTTCTAAAAATTTTCTCCATGGGAAGATCGGCTCAATATGTCTGAAAATTGTCAGTTCACAGGAATTGTTTTGCGATTAAGGAGTTTGTATTACACTTGAGATTCTGAAAGTAATTGTAGTGGTTCCAACCGATCGAAACGTCCACATTTTAGTACAGTTATAAACCCGAGTCAAATAATAAAAGTTTATATTCACTAAAATATTTTTAAACCTCTGATCAGCAACAATGTAATATTGGTATAAGTAAAATTCATGAATTATTAACGAAGCGAATCAAATTTGAATGATTGGATCACATGAATTATTTAGTATAGAATGTCATGTTATACAATGTCATGTGATCCAAGCATTCAAACTTGATTGGGTGAAAAGCTCGTTAATAATTCATGTTTTAACAAACACCAATACTAAATTAATATATTAAAATACCAGTATACCAGGGACCGCGGAGACGGGGGGGCTGGGGGGGCTTTAGCCCCCCCACTTTTTTTGACAGCCAAAATTATTAAAATAGATATCTAAATGAAACTTTCTAAATTAATTAAACCTCACCCTTTAGCCCCCCCCCCCCACTCTCTAATACGCTCCGCGGGCCCTGTATACTCACAGACCTTGTACAGACGAGTAATGAAAGTGTTCTTTAGTTATACGTTAATACATATGCTCACTATTATAACCACGTGCTTGTAATTTGTTTGCAACATGAAGCTTCATCCAATGATGGAATCTTCAATTGGCTGACTAACTTGGTATAGTGAGCTGCCTTAATGCTTAAGTTAAGTTGCTCACTATTCGAAATTTGTCAGCCACCCGAATTTATTACTTCACTAGATGAAGTAGGCTTGTGTGGCAATTTTGAGGTGAGCGAATCTATATTTGATCGGTCTGCATGTATGGTATCGAGCACCCTCTAGCATTTTGTGAACTAAAACACACTTCTTCACAGCCCAAAACTATCTGTTTTGCAATATGGTAAATGTTCATTTTGTTCTGATTAGCGGGAGCGATGCGATTTCCCCCAGAAGGCGTACATTACCTCGTCGATGCTTATATCAACAAGTTTAAACTTGAAACAATACCATTTTACAACATTGATCCTCAGAAAAATTGCTTCGTCAGCGTGGAAGGTGAAACTGCGAGAGTATATGGTAAGTATGAAAGATCACAATTTAATATTCGTTGAATCTAAAGATTCTGTCACTAGTGGCGCCATCAGGATTTTTTTTTTTTGAGGGGGGGGATGGATTTCGCAACTTCATAATTTGAGTCACAAATTATTTTAGAATTTAGGTCTGCGAAACATTTTTGTTTTAAAATTTAGGTCTCCAAAACAGTAATTCCTGCATTGTGGAGTACGGTGTCGGATATTGATTTCAGAACACCTGCAGACATAATCACATAGAGCTTTATAGATACGACAGGTATATAGATACTGTCAAGGAACGCAACACTGTCTGATGACAATTTTCCTCCCCAATTTTTCATCGAATTTGAACGAAACTAAAACTATACATGCAGCGCTCAGAAACACATTGGGGAGAAGGTTGCCCTCCTCACCCCTCTTTGGCAGCGCAACTGCCTGTCACATGAATTTCACGTGATATATAATGATTCGGTTGTCGCTTTGTGGAATGGAATATTCCACCTCTCATGCTCTCACCGAATGAAAATATTTGTATTTAATAAATCAATTTTATCGAGTTTTGGATTGAATTAAATGCAAAACAAATACGTATACCTCGGTTACATGCACAAACTTTAAAAATAATACCTTCAACAAAAAGTCCCAAAATTATTTTAATGAAGAGTTAAAGGAGCCCTACAGTCATTTTTTAGTCGAAAAGTTACCTTAAGTAGGGGACTCCACGGAGATTCGTTTGGCTGTATCTTACATGCAGTATCCATGAGTATGAGTACTTCCGCACACCGGACGACGCATGCATGCCGTGGTGCACAGGTCAAGTAGCGACAATAACAAAAAAATGTAAACAATACTTAAGGTGATTTTTCGACTAGAAAATGACTGTAGGGCCCCTTTAACAAAATAATGGGGTTCATTTAGCTCAACAAATCGTAAAAAATAATATTTTTACACAAGCTGTTTTGCTCAATTAATTCCATTGGTCTATTGGTCTATATTGCATTTAATTCCAAATCGTGCAATATGTAGCAAAACGTATGCATATTGTTAAAAAATGTAAGAATGGCAGTGCAGTAAAATGTGGCAGTAAAATGTGTTCTTTGCACTCTCAGTAAAATGGGAATTAGCCAATTAAAGGCCATAATTTAAAAAGGTGTTATCTGAGATAGCAATGGTGGAGTGACCGTGTGGTTGGTCAATATCGCATGTGACAACGCTTGCAAATGGCCTGCCTTCTACGAACATTCACTTATTAACTAAATCTTTTTATTAAATGCTTTAACCGTTTTTTTTTTTAATTTAGACTTTATAAGCGACAACCAGACAGACAGAGCTATAGCAAAAGCCATGTGTGACAAATTATGGCCTGGATGGGACAGAAGAATCATCAAGAATGGTCTCAGGACAAAGTACAGAATTGACCATGTTGGTAAGTTCTGCAATACACTAACAATATCGTTTTTTCTCGGAGACGCTTGTTACATGCTTCCTTGGATACTAAGATCCGGTTATCGCAATCCAGTGACCAAATGACCTAATAAGTGCGTCTAAACAGGAAGCTATTTAGGCTAAGGTTTTTGCAGTACCTCTCAGAAATACCCTAACACTGCGGTTTCGGTTTTCTTACGGCTTTTCTGCGGTTTTTTAGGCGGTCCTTTGCGGTTGACCGTCCACGCGCAAGAGGCTGTAAGCGCGGTTAACCACAGTTTATTGTCATTCGGATTAATTGCAACAATTTCGGCGATCAAGCAAGTGATACAAGGAAGAGAAAGATAATTTATTCAATATTGATCCTCTATTGAACCTATATCTACGTCGTGTACCTGATCAAGCGGACGACATTATGTACTGTTTAATATACGAGCAGGAGTGTTTTATTAGGTTTAAAGCCACGAGCGCGCAGCGCGAGTGGCTTTAGACCTAATAAAACACGACCTGCGAGTTTTTTAAACGGATTCAAACACGACTACAAATTCAATAGATATATTGCCTTATTAGTATTCTTTATATAAAGAATACTAATGAGGACACGACAACAATAGATTCTGCCTTATTAGTATTCTTTAATTAAAATTAAATAAAAAATACTAATTAAGAGTGTTTAAAGTTTAAAGCCACTGCACGTGACATATTATGGTTGACATGATTTGCCAATAAGCTTATGGATTATTAATGAGTGTTTGAATACTAAATTAAAAAAAACTCATTAATAATTCATGAGGAAAACACAAAAGAAATGAAATTGTTTAATCAATGTTTGTAAATCGGATAAAGATTTGTCCTGATTTACATAAACTTCAGCTTTGATTTTCTCGGCTTAGACAATGTTTATTTTTAAAATTACTTCGCCAATGAACTCATAAGATGGGTCGTTTTTTAAGCGCGTTAAAACATGAGCATGCGTGCATCTGCGATCTTTATCTGATATACATGCAAACTCTCACCTTCGGCTCGAGTTTGTATATCAGAAAAAGATCGGCTGCTCATGCATGTTTTAACTAGTACTTATGAACGGTTTGTGCCAGTGTAAGTAGTGTCAATAATTATAAAGAAAGCTAGCTTCAGATTGATAGGGATGTAACTAGCTGAAAAACATAAGGAGAATTTCGACGTTTCGAGCGAAGGCGCTTCGTATATTAAGTAGCCTGCGTAGCAGGCGTTTAGTACGGGCGGGAAAAGAGGAAACGCCTGCCCAAATGGCTCTGACAAATTTGTTTTCGCCCATTAAGGATGATTGACGTTTTGTAATTAGCACCTCACCCATTATCCAATCATAGTCGAGATTTATATTTAGAACCATGCATGCTTTTTGCTCGCAACTAGGGAGATTTGCAGAGATTTTATGTACCATTTAAAACATGAGCAGCTGTGTTTTATCAGATATAAAAATGGTCTGATAAAATACGCACTGCGAATGTTTTAAATTGCTTCAAAAACGATCGATCTAGTATAAGTTCATTGGCGAAATAGCTTTCAAAAAATTCGTTGTGTATGTAGAGAAAATCAAAGTTAAAGTTTATGTAAATCAAGGGAAATTTCTATCACATATAAAGATACACGTTTATGATTTTTCTTTGTGTTTTTTCCTCATGAATTATTAATGAGTTTTTGAAGCTATTTTAGACAACAGTCACAACACAGAGCTTTTATCTTTTAAAAGGCTCCTGAACCACGGTTGGTTAACGTATTCTGCCATATAGCAAACTAACTGCAAATAACAGTTGTAATGAGCATGTTTTGAAATGTTATTCTTAAAATCATCGTCCAACCTCATAGCTGCAATGCCAAGTGATGTAGCCTCAACTATCTGGTCTTGAATTATACTTTAAAGTGGACAAATAACAAGACAACTATAAGGAATATTCGATCCCTGCTCGGCCGCTCGGGCAAGCTTTGATTTGCCGATTTTCCTTATTCCGTAGGAAGAATCGCGATAACCGGCGTCTTCACCACGTAGCAATTTAATAATAGAATAGACTTTCTCTATTCCGGTTTCAACTGAATTTCGAAACCTAAATACTTGAAATATAAGAGTTCCCTCGAAAGTATTAACAGGCGGCATATTTTCGATACGCGAGCAAAATTATTGTTGACATTTGAGTTACGTAATTACTTCCGTTAACAAGATTGACCAATGGGAAGCTTTTCCAAAGATTCTTCGGAGAAGAACAAATTAATCATAGGCATTTGGGCAATGGGCAGGCGTTTATTTAACGACGCCCTCTCTTCTCCCGTCCGCACTAATTAAATTACTAACTAACTAGAAAATACATGCATGCAGAAACCCTCGCCTTGCTGACAAAACCGTTGTATTTTCCGAACAGGAAGTATCTAGAGTAGTTGTCATGGTAACACGATAATTTTTTAAGAATATTCTTACAAATGAAAATCGCCTAAAAATATCACTTTTAATTACAAAATTATCAATTTCCCAACATATATATGTTAGGTATGTAATTATACGTAATACAAGCTTCAATTTAAGGTAAAATTCAACCACAAACAATTCACAAAACGTTTTAAAGTGTTCTTTATAAAACTAAACTGCCTTTAACTATTAAATGGCTTTATCGATAAACTTTGAGTTTGCAATAAAATGATTTCAAATTCTCGCTTGCAAATAATCTTTGCTTTATTTTTTATTTAAAAAATTCAATATAATAAAAAAGGGAATCAATATTAAAGTTACACTGAAATTTATATATGCTGTCTTGTTTAGTTGTTTCATATACGCAAAGGCCGTCGGGTTTTAAAGCCATTATGAAATCAATATTTAAAACAAACTTACCTTCTTTTTTTGTGTTGATGTAGTGTACTCAGGTGAATATGATATTTGTGGTGTTACTCTGAGTGTATATCCACACCGGGCGAGCTTGAAAAATATGCCCGGCCACGGTGGGATTCGAACCTACGACCTTTGGAATACTAGCCCAATTCGCGTAGCTCAGTTGGAAGAGCATTGGGCTAGTATTCCAAAGGTCGTAGGTTCGAATCCCACCGTGGCCGGGCATATTTTTCAAGCTCGCCCGGTGTGGATATACACTCAGAGTAACA